TCCTCTCCTCTCCCTCCCTCTCACACTTCTTCATTCTTTTATCTCTTTTACAAGATCGCGACAAAAATTTATCTTTTCAGTTCATAAACGCGCACGTAAATATACATAGAAGATATTTTAATTGAAGACTTTTAATGTCTGATCTGACAAGGACTTGCCGACTTGTTAAAATTAATAAACTTTTTTTGATACATCCGCATTTTTGCTTAAGTGTGTGACAAAGAACCTCGAGACAACAGTCCTGAAATATTGCGATGTTGATCTTTTTCTCTCACAAAGTGAATTTTTTTCCGTTATTTTCTTCTATCTTTAACTTGGGAAAATCTTTGTGAAAACTTATTGATCGATAATAAGCCGCACTATAATACTCTTGATGTTGAAGATAATTAACGATTTTTGTCGGAAGAGATCTCGAAATCTTTTCGGCGCGATCTTGCATTTATCTTTTTTCTTTGAACGCTCGCATCCAAGAAAGAGAGTAACTTAACCATTTGGAAGATAAGATCCTTTCGGTAACACAGCCGTTAATATAAGCTTCATACCAATTACAGAATCCTGTGTCTTAATATACGAGTATGTACAATTTTTTTTTATCCTGCGTGTCGCGTTACGATTGTGGAGTAAAAAGTGTGAAGCGAAAAGAACGGAGAACTGTTCTCGAAATTGAACAATTTTGGAACGTGATTTGGAATTTCCATTGCCTATACTTCTGCCATCTATATCTTCTCACATTTTTATTTCATCTTAAATCAAAACATTTTTTTCTCCTTATTAAATACACCAGTTTATTACGCGGTTTCCCAGAATTTTTCACTCCACAATCGTTAATGTGCGGATGAAGGACCTTCCTTCTTACGGACGTTGTAACAATTGCACGTTTAGCAAAAAATCAGCAATCGGTAAGATTTCCCTTCGGCGTGCACTGATGAAAAACATAAACAATTTCAAATTCGCTTATTGCGCGTTTTAACAAACGCACCTTGATTGCACGCGATCGACCTTTTGTCGCTGTAATCTTTCAGTATATCTCACGCTTTAATTGCTCATCAATTTCAACTTCCTCTTCCTTGATACTTTTACATATCAGTAATTTTAGATACGATGACAAAAAGACAGCAAAAATAAATAAATACAATAACAAAGAGACAAGCGTTCTGAAGATATTTAAAGTTTTTTTAAACATCTGTACGTCTTTATATGACTTTTACGTGTACACTGTTTTCATCAGCATGTAATTTTGTGAAGTATAATTCGATATGTTACGGCTCTTCAGATTTTACAGTCGAAAAATAAATTATTTGAAAACAACATATTTATACGATAGAAACGATTTTTCATGTCTTTAAAAAAGTTTTATCCTTAGCTGTATTTTATATTCCAATCTTTTAGACACATATTTAACATAATTATTAAAAGAGCGCACTGTTCAATGTTGCTATTAAAATGTAGCGACCAGTAGAAAAAGAAGGATTAACCACTGGCACGATGCGATCCTTGCAGGAGTCTTCTTTCCCGAAGAATGAAGCTGACGACGACAACGATGACGACGAGATGCACCGTTCCTAGGCGTCGTACGAAACAAAGCTAATATCTTCATCTTATATCTCTATGTTTCGCGATTCATACGCATACGTGACGCATATATCCAAACAATTTTTCTCTTTCTCTTCTCACATCCGCAATTCGGTCGCATTTCTTTTTTCC